TGGATTAAATGAGATAAAGTGTATAAAGCACTAAGGAAAGCGTTTGGCACATGCAAGTCTCAATAAATTTTGTTATACATTTTAAATACAAATAATACATTTCAATAAATGAGTTAGTATACTTAAGGCACTTATAGCAGTACCTGCACAGTGAAGGTCTATATAAGGGTTTGTTATTATTATTACTATGTAATAAAACCTCAGTTAATCAGAATGTCTAGATAACGAGGTAACTAAGTTAACCAATTTTCATACCCAAAACCTCTAAACCACTTCAAGTTTTTGAAAATCCTTTTAAAATGTATTAGTCACTTTTCCAAGATTCGTAAGTATAATATGTTAAGTATCAATTTAAAATTTTTACATGCGATCATACATGGCTCCAGGAATATATATCACAAGTCCTGGGTTCTAGTACCACTCTGTTACTTGTCAGCAGTGTAACTTTGAGCCTCAGTTTCCTCATCTGTGAAGTAAAAGATCTGTCATGCTTTTCTCCCAGTTTTGGTGACTATCAGATGCCATCATGTATATGCAATTATTTTGAAAACAACAAAATTAAGGTGAATTAAAAATAGCATAAATTTGTTATTATCATTCTTTAGAATATGATATCCTGTTTCTCGGGATGCGTGTGCATAGGGGTATGGAGATTCTAGATTATACCAAGGATGTGGTTTTTGAAAACTGTGGTAATATACACATAACAAAATGTATCATTTTAATTATTTTTAAGTGTTTAGCTCAGTGGCATTAAGGACAATCCGTGTTATGCAACCATCACCACCATCCATCCCAAAACATTTTTCATCTTCCCAAACTGAAATCTGTCCACTAACGACTAACTCCCCATTCTCCTTTTCTCCCAATCCCTGGCAACCACCCTTTTACTTTCTGTCTATGAATTTGACTACTCTAGGTAACTCATATAAGTAGTTTCACACAGAATATTGTTTTGTAAAAAAAAGTCCCTTGTTTATTTTCTTTTCTTTTCCATCTTTGTCTTTAAAAGTTGAATATAAAAAGCAATGGAAATTGAGAATTTCCTTTTGTTGGTCCTAAATCTTTAAGGCTTATAATAAGACTGTGATTAAGAAGAAACAAAGACACTTTGCTCTGATAGTATCCTCCAGGCTCTAACGGGGCCGACTGCTTGGTCTAATCTCCATTGCAATCTTAGGATACTTCTGAGAAGCTATGATGTTATAAGGCTGTGCAGTGAAGACCAGGGATAAAGTCTGGTCCCACCTCTGTCACAAGGTACTTTTGATATTTTATGAATCATTTTTTCCTTTGGGTCATGTCTGTTAAGGTTCAGGCAGACTGGGCTACATTATTTCAAAGTAGTGTCAACTTCATATTCCAGTGTTTTGATGGCATTTATTCCTTGAAAGACACTGCAAAATACCATTCTCTTCTTCCTCCAATCTCTATCCAAGAACAACACATTTTACATAATGAAAATGGAAGAGGAGGAAGATACCTATGATATTTTTCCTAGGAAAAGAAACAGGGGGAAAATACTGAACTGGTTTTGGGTGTTCCTGGCAGCTGATTTAATGCTGTCATCTTTCTTCTGAACAGGAAAAAAAAAAAAGAGTACAGAAGAGTTTCATAGCACATGCCAAAATGTTATATTGCACATGTGCACACACACACACACACACACACAAGCAAAAGCTGTGTTCACATTAATGCTATGCCTTCACATCGGAAAAAACAAATAATGAGTTAAACCATCTGAATTTAGAAGACAGAGATACATGATAATTTTTTAAGTTATCTCTGAAGTCACATCAAAATGTACACCCCAGGATTCTAAGATCCAATTCTGTTAAGGAGAAAAAGCAATCTAGTCAAATATAAGATGCCACAGACAAAAAGGGTTATGTATTTGGAACGAACAACTATCCTTAACATTCATAAACTTCCCAACTGGGATCCATTTGTATGAAGAGACTCTTCTGGTCTGATAAGAGCCTGGCTCTGGAAAAAAGAACAAGACGACCCAAATTCTTTTGGGGGAGACACTTTCACACATGAATCATCCACGAAAAATGGCAGCTGCATCATAATGTTGGCTGCCTGCCCCAGAAGTTGACCCTGGGGGGCTCTGCCTGCTGAGACCCACCTTCAGCATGGAATGTACTCAGGACAGCAAGGTGAAGTACCTCATCCATCTGACTTCTATAGCCAGGGACAACTCATGAATATTACCATTTTCTTCCCCAGACAGTGTAGCCCTCGGTTGAAAATTTAGTCTCTACTGGTCAGAATCGAGTCAATTTTGTTAGTATGGATATTTCCAAGCTGTGTCCCCCAAACAGCTTTATAAATACTGACAGATGCTGGGTATGGTGGCTCATGCCTGTAATCCCAGCATTTTAGGAGGTTAAGGCGGGCAGGTCGGTTGAGCGCAGGAGTTCAAGACCAGCCTGGGAAACACGGCAAAACTTCATCTCTACAAAAAACACACAAAATTAGCCAGGCATGGTGGTATGTGCCTGGAATCCCATCTACTCAGGAGGCTGAGGTGGCAAGATCGATTGAGTCCAGGAAGTCAAGGCTGCAGTGAGCTGCGATCATGCCACTGCACTTCAGCCTGGGCAAAGAGTGAGATCCTGTCTCAAAACACACACACACACACACACACACACACACACACACACCCCTAGTTGACAGGACCACCATACATGAAACAATGTAACGATAATTTGTAATAATCTTAATACAAGTTTTTTAATATATGTTATCCACAAAGGGATGGGAGAAGTTAGGTTTTATAGGTCTATTTCCATTAAATCCATGTCAGGGATGGAGAATTCCTGAGTCAGAAGACTTCAGAGATTAAAGAGAACTGAAATATTAGTTATACCAACACCCCCAGAGCATTCTTGATATGGCATTCCTGAAAACTGGTTATGCAATTGGCTTCAATTTCTCTAGAGAAAGAGAGACGACTTCTCCATGAAGAAATGAGTGAAGGAGGTAGACTACATGATCTTATATCAGATCTTTAGACTTTTGGGAACTTTTGTCTTCTCATCTATAAAAGATGGAAACTATTTTATAAGGCCAGGTGGAAGTGGAAATTGTAAAGCAGCAGTTTAGCAACTGATTATAAATGAGTGTTAGTTTCCTTCACTGTTATGTTATTCGTTAAAAAGTTTTTTCATATATTGGGCAGAAATCTGCTTCTTTGTAACTTTTACCTAGTGGTCTCAGTCTAAACCCCTCAAGCAACATTTTTCTGTCTTCTGCAAGGCATCACTTCCAACACTGGCAGATGGGCACAAGCATTTCTCTTATGTAGCCTAAACTCACCCAAATGCCTCCCTCATTCTTTGGAACTAATGAAAACTCAAGTCATAAATGTTATGGAGTACTAATAAAATTGAGAGCAAACTGGGAGCATATTAAGACACAGTCCCTGACTTCAAAAAGCTTAAATACATAATGTAGTTTGGGTAAAATCAGGGCTCAATCAAAATACCATCAAAGTATCATTACTGAATAGGAGAAATAACTAAATTTGACTGGAAAACCAGAGAAGGCTTTATAGGAAATGACATTTGAGTTGGGTAATCAACGATTGAAAAGATTTTGAAAGGCAGAAAGCTTATGCTGGTAAAAGAGCATAAGCAAAACCATGGAAAAAATATATGCAATGTTTTAAGAATGGTACAATGGACTGCACTGTGTTCCTCCAAAACTTATATTGAAGTTAGGGTTGAAGGCCTAACTCCAATGTGACTGTATTTAAAGATAGGGCTTTGGGCCAGGTGCTATAGCTCACACCTGTAATCCTAGCACTTTGGGAGGCTGAGGTGGGTGGATCACCTGAGGTTGGGAGTTTGAGACCAGCCTGACCAACATGGAGAAACTGTGCCTCTACTAAAAATATAAAATTAGCCAGGCATGGTGGCGCATGCCTGTAATTCCAGCTATTCGGGAGGCTGAGGCAGGAGAATCGCTTGAACCCGGGAGGTGGAAGTTGTCCTGAGCTGAGATTGTGCCATTGCACTCCAGCCTGGGCAACAGACCAAAACTCCATCTCAAAAAAGAAAAAAGATAGGGCTTTTAGGAGGTAACATTAAATAAGGTAATAAGGGTGGGGCACTAATCTGATAAGATTGTTGGCCTCATTAAAAAAAAAAGAGACTTGTCAGTCTGTCTCTCTCTGCCATATAAGGGCAGAGCAAAAAGGCAGTGGCCATCCACCAGGCAGAAAGAGAGCCTTCACTAGAAAGTGATCACTGCTGGACCTTGATCTTGGACTTTCCAGCCTCCAGAAGTGTAATACAATACATTTCTGTTGTTTAAGTCACACAGTGTGTGGTATCTTGTTATGGCAGCCCTAGCAGACTAATCCAAATGGCAATTACAGAGAAGAGTCAATGGGTAAAGACCAAAGAAGAGAGTCGGAGAGTATACTGAACAATTGGGTAGAATAAGAAAATGTAAATGGTCAGGCTTAGGAGACAGAGAAACCAATGTTCAAATCTGTTTTGCTGCTTTATGAGTTGCATCATGACCTTAGGTTACTCAACCTCTCTGAGCTCAGATTTCTTCTTTGTTAATGGTAAAGGAGATAATATATGTAAGGTACCATTCACAGCACCTAGCATGTGGAAGGTACTCTATGAATGTTAATAATAATTATTATTTTTATTAATATAAATATAGGGGCTAGGTGAGGGACAGTGGGGCATGGGGAGGGTGGGGAGGGATAATGTGGGGAGAAATTCTGGATATAGATGAAGGGGGAATGGAGGCAGCAAACCACTTGGTTATGTATGCACCTATGCAACAACCCTGCATGATTTGCACATGTACCCCAGAACCTAAAGTACAATAAAAAAAAAAATACATATATATATATATATATATATATATACATATATATAAGAAGTAATGATCATAAAACTAGTACTGAAAAAAGACATGAATGACACAGGATGTTCAATGATCTGAATACATCTTAAAAATTCCTCTAGGGCTTGCTTTGGCAGCAGATATACTAAAATCAGGACAATACAGAGAAGATTAGCATGGCCCTTGGGCAAAGATGACATGCAAATTCGTGAAGTGTTCTATATTTTTAAAAGAATGAATAAGGCTTAGTATTGATAGCCCAACAGGGGTATTATAGACAATAATGATTTAACTGTACATTTTTAAATAACTAAAAGAGTATAATTGGTTTTTAACTCAAAGGAAAAATGCTTGAGGGAATAGATACCCAATTTTCCCTGATGTAATTATTACACATTGCATGCCTGTACCAAAATATCTCAAATAACCCATAAATATATACACCTACTATGTATCCAAAAAAAAATTTTAAGTCCTCTAGCTAAATAATGGTGCATATTCTTTCTTCTTAGCATTTCTGAATCACAATTACATCTTTTAGAATGCCAAGAATAAAATTCTAATTGTGAATGAGAAAACACTGCTTGCAGAAAAACAGCAGGAACTGTGAGAGAAAATATGCATGCAATATTGGCATTCATGTGGGCTAAAGAGAGGAGATGTGGGTCATGGCCAGATGTGTCCTTAATCTGCTTCCTATTTAGCAAATACCTGTGCATCCTATAAGACCCAACTCAAATGTCACCTCCACAAAGCCTTATCCCCAACTTCCCCAAATATATTATATGCTCACTTCATTTGCTCTGTTTCTCCCACTAGACTGTGAGCATCTTGAGGACAGATGCATATTATTTATTTATGCACCTACCATAGTGTCTGGCACATAGCTCAACAAATGCTTGCTGAGTGAATTAATATGACAAAATGGGAATGCTGACTTTAAAGATCAGAGCAACAGGAAGATGCTGAAATCAGTGAAAATTACTTTAAAAACATGATCTAAACTATATGCATTTGTAAGAGAAGAGAGGCAGTTCTCCATACTGGCAACAAGACAAAGTGTCATCATGATGGAGGCTCTGTCTACATCCTTTTCCTGTCAACAGCCATATCAATGTCTTAGATAAGAACTAAGTTTAGGCCAGGCACAGTGGCTCACACCCGTAATCCCAGCACTTTGGGAAGCCGAGGCAGGTGGATCATGAGGTCAGGACATGGAGACCATCCTCACCAGTATGGTGAAACTCCGTCTCTACTAAAATACAAAAAATCAGCGGAGCGTGGCACCTATAGTCCCAGCTACTCGGGAGGCTGAGGCAGGGGAATCACTTGAACCCAGGAGGTGGAGGTTGCAGTGAACCCAGATCGTGCCACTGCACTCCAGCCTGGTGACAGAGACACAGAATGATGTTTGTGAAATTGTTGGTAAGAAACAAATGTTGTTTACAAAAGAGAATGCTTCAATATGATTCCATTTCAGTAAATATATCTATAAAACATGCATAAAATTAAAAGATTATCTGTTAGCAGTAACATAATTAAAAGAATTAAAAGAATAAAAGAATATCTGTTAGCAGTAACATAATTTTGGCTTCATTTTATTTTCTAGATTTTTCTACAATAAATAAATATGTTTAGATTTTGCAAGGGCTAGTGTTTTTCGTTTGTTTGTTTGTTTGTAAGAAAAAGATTTAAAGATAAGGGCAATAAATGGAACAGGTGACCCATTAGGCCCACCTTACCTTAAAATTGCTGAGCTGCTGGGAGCCATCTATCTTCCTGATAGAAGTCTCCTGCTTTAGCTGACCCTGGGAAAGAGGACCTAAGCCATTTGGGTGGATGCTGAGGTGGTTTTTCAAGGTTTCCCCTGGCCTTCTCCAAATTCCTCTCTGGGCAGGATGAGGGCTGCTGAGGGCTGAGAAGGCACTGTCTAACTGGTTTGGGTGGACTGCAGGGATGGGCTACAGGGCTCCTCTGATTCGATGCAGGATGATAGCATCCTTCTGTTACTCGGCACCAAAGTGACACTCATTGCAAGGCCAGTATCTCAAGGTCTGCCTATGATTTGCCTGCGCTCCAGGACAAAAGTCTGACTCAACTATCATCACAATATTTTATTCCTATTGGGAATTCTTTGCAGAAAAATGCCTGTCACCAGCAGAAAGGCTTTCCCTGAGCTCTTGTTTTCAATGTATGGTCTTATTGTTAGAGTTTTCCATTACCTCAACATTTCTCCTAGCCCCAAACATTCCTTTTTACGTGAATAACTTTATTATAAAGTAAAAACAAAACCAAAACACCCACAAACAAAAAACAGCAATATCAACAACAACAGAAAGTATGGCCTCTAAAGAGACCCTTTACCAAGATCTTACCCCTTATGCTCACAGTTCTTTTAACACAGATGCTTGGTAAACAGAGATAATTTCAGATCACCTACTGTTTCTTGACATAAAAACAAAGAAACACATATTCAAGTCAATTTACAGTTTACAAAGCACAGTGTTATCATATTAGGATCTGGGAGTGACTTCAGTGGACATTTTTACCCTTGCATGACAACTGAGGTCAAAGAAGTCCAGAGAGGGTTAGTGAATGGCCCAGGGTTACTATATTAGTGGACATGCCAGAGCTCTTACTCAAAACTGGGGCTTTAGCACTAAGTAAAAAGAGTTAGTGTTGCAATGTTAAAGCTATTTTTGTAGCATTCAGAGACCCAGCAGTACAGAAGAATAGCAAGGCCAAAGCTCTTCAAGATGACTGTTTTGTTTATTTAGAGTTTTCTTATTTTTGTTTTATTTTGGCAAAATTCACTTAACATAAAATTAACTATTTTAAACTGAACAGTTCAGTGGCATTTGGTACACTGACAATGCTGTACAATCACCATTTCTATCCAATTGGAAAACACATCTGGTGGCCCAAAAGGAAGTCTGTTCCTATAAAGTGGTTGCTCCCTTTTCCCGCTCTAGCCAGCCCCTGGCAACAAATCCAATATCTGCCTCTGCGCATTTATCTCTTCTGAATATTTCACATGAATGAAATCATACATGTGGCCTTTTAGGTCTGGCTTCTTTCACTCAGCATAATATTTTTGAGATTTATCCATGTTATGGCATGTATCAGAACTTCATTCATTTTTATGGCTAAGTAATATTCCATCGTATGTCTGTCCCATTCTTGGTTTACCAGTCATTCCATGGATGGACATTTACACTGCTTCCATCTTTTGGCTACTGTGAGTAATACAGCTATGACTATGTGTATACCTGCATTTGTTTGGATACCTGTTTTCAATTCTTAGGGGTATATATGAGTTTTAAAATGTTTATGTCTTTTACTTATTTTTTTTATCTGACTACAAAAGTATAGGATATTTATTGAAGAAAATATAAAAATCAAAGAAAAAGTACAAATAAGAAAAACCACCTAAAGGGAACCAAGAATATCCCCTTCCAGAAAGGATATCCTACCAGCAAAAGGCCTTCTAAGCCCCTTCTTTCTTTCCTCCCTATATACACAGATTATTATTTTAGAAATAAGTAGTCATTGAAAACATGGACTTGGTAGCCAGGAAAACCTGGATTTGAATTTGGGTTCTGCATTTACTAGCTGAATCATTTTACTTTGAACTTGTGTTCCTGTCTATGAAATGGACATAATAGTATGTGCCTTGCAGAGTTTTTATGGCAAATTAAATGGTGCTCAGGAAGTGTCAGGTATAACAGTACTTCCCACACAGGGATTTGCTAACTCCACCAGAAAGCAAGGCTCTTTGAGAGAGAAATTTTGTATTTTCACCTCTGTATCCTCAGCACAGTGCCTGCCACATGGCTGGCACTCAATAAATACTTGTTGAATGAAGAAATGAATGTAACTACTGGGGACATTGGGGTTGAAATTAAAGTCCTGGGAAGGATCTTTGGGAAGAATCTAGGTTTCTGAGTTCAGAAGACAACCAAAGGTCATGGATAGAAAATTCTTGTAGGTCAATTTTAATTCTATACAACCATGGTCCAATGGCCAGTGTTGGTTAGGCCTGACTTTGGGCTCACAGAGAATGGAATCATTTGCTGAAAATGGCCAAAAAATAAGTTATTTGCAGCAATCAAGGCAGAGACTAGGAGCTCTGCCTCTGAGGTATGTGGGGATTTGAACTTCCTAAACTGCTAGACCAGCTAAGACTCGGGCATTTTTTTTTTTTTTAAAGCAAATAAGCATTTGACAAAATAAACCCAGACAAAGAGATACTTAAGTATGAATCCTTGTCAGAAACTTCCCTGAAGTAATATAACTTGGAACTAAAGAGATAATTAGTGAGCTTCTCATGGCCCTACAGGAAATCTTGCTTGGTACAGGAAGGCAAGATTTTCTAAGTTTGTGTAAAAGAAGTTTCCACACACTCCACTGCCTCACAATAATGTCTGCAACGCGTTGCAGAGCTCGCTGTCTGCCAAGCTCTTTACTGCCTTTCTTCTTTTGTGGGTCTTTTTCTGCAAATAATGGACTTGCCCTGTTTGTGGACCAACTTCTGCAAGCTCAGGAGGGCTGAAGTGGAGCTGTAGGCCCTCAATTCCTCAGGAAACAGGCCAGAGGGAATAAAGAGCTGACCCCTACCTCAGCCATTAGCTGGGCCTACCTCAGCTGGATCTGATACTATATCCCAGGATACATCTTATTTTTTTCATTCATCTCCTTTGCAGCATCTATCACTGCTGGAATTAAATGACTTTCAGTATTTCTGTGTATGTGAAAGTACTTGCTGAAAGTTTTGCTCTTCCACTAAATTGCAGAGTATGCAAAGGCAAGAATGTTTCTTTTTCCTTACTGTATCTTCAGCCAGTACAGGCCTTGTCCATGGTAGGCATGGAATAAACATTTGTTGAATAAATGAATCAAAGACATTTGATGACAAATTCAATTCAGCTTACAGACAATATAATATACTGGTTAAGAACATGGGTTTGAATTCTGGGTTCACAGCTTTGTGACTTAGGGCAAGTTGCTTAAATCTCTCTGAGTTTCCTAATGTTGCTGTAACAAATTATCACAAACTTAGTGGCTTAAAACAACAGGAATTTATTCTTTCACATTTCTGGAGGCTAGATGTACAAGACCCAGTAGGGCCACACTCTTTCTGGGGGCCCTGGAGTGGAATTCATTTTTTGTCTCTTAGTTTCTGAGGGCTGCTACCCTGGCATTCTTGAGCTTGTGGCTGCATCACTGGA